TATGAATATATTTGTATTCTTTAAAAAATGGCATAAGATCCTGGACACTAAGTAAATACATTAATGTATCATTATTTTTTACTGGAGTTGCATGTTCAAATGTTTTGATTATTTTTTTGCTGAAAAAATTCAAAATTCCAATCTTATAGATGGCCTTTGGATCTACCTTCGGGATTGTCCATTTATCTAAGGCTTCTTTGACTTCCTGGTACGCAACAAGCTCTCGAGCTTCTAAGATCGAGGCTTCTGTTTCAGATACTGTAGGGGCTACTGTATTTTCTTCAGAGGGGGCAGTACTCATTTGGTTGTATATGACCATATATGGATAATTAAAAATTAATAAAAAAAACTACTAAATATATTAAACATGGCTCTGATACCATAAAAGAGCCAGAGAATTAAGTTTTGATAATTCGGTATTGGTTTTTCGAATAGAATTAATTTTTTTCGATTGTTAACTTTTGAAAATTTTCTAAAATTTCAAAACTTGATTTTCGAATGTACTATTTTTTTCAATTCGGAAAATGTTTTTCGAATAAAAATAATAATTTAGACAGTTGATTTCTGAAAAAAATAAAAAGTCTTGGCATTGATTTGCCGAATGAAAATCATGAAAAATAATCAGTGTGTTTGGTTTGAGTTTTCTGAATTAAGTTTTTTGAAAATTGAATTTTTTAGTTTTCGTATTCTTTTGTTTTTAGTGAATATTTTTTAAATTTTAAACATTTTTTTTTACTTTTTTAGATGCGCCTTAGTTACATGTATCTAAAAAGTAAAAAATTTATAAAAAAATATTTTAAAAAATTAATAAATACATAAAAATACAAAAAATGTACTAAATTCTTATATATTTTTTTGTATTTTTGGTATTTAGTGAATTTTTAAAAGTTTTTTTTTACAAATTTTTTACTTTTTAGGTGTATTTATGTTAAGTGTGTCTAAAAAGTAAAAAAATTGTTTAAATTATTAAAAAAATTCAATAAAAATAAAAAAAAACACAGAAAATAAGAAAATAGAATTTTCTAAAAAGAGTTCTATGAAAACTCAAAAAAAATTACTCTCGGAGTCACCGGAAAAAGTTCCATAACTGTAGTCCATAGAATAAGGATAGGAATGAGCATACATAGCTGAATACAAGGAGTTCATAAAAGACATCCATAGCTGAATACAAGGAGTTCATAGAAGAATTGTCGGTGATAAGGCTGGAGTCAAGTTTTTTGTTTATAAAAATATGTACTCATTCATCAAGATGTGTATTGAAATTTTTGATATCCATTATGATCATTTTACTTTAATATATAATTATCATTAAAATAAAATTTAATTAAATATGTGCATAGAATATCTCTGACATTAATCATTTTGTTTGATTAAGTATAAGGACTTTTTTTTTAGGGGGGGTTTAAAAAATAACATTAATATGTTAATATAGTTAAAAGAGGATTAGTAATTTAGTAGCTACTAGACCACACTGACACAGGTACAAGATAGAATGACTGAAAGTGAACACTTTGATTATGAATCAAAAAAGAAAGGGAAGACTTTGATCGAACGTGAATGAGTTAAAATGGGCAAGAAAATTGTGGGAAAGTTACATAATACTGTTTGGAGAGCATGGAAGTCACAAGAAAGTGTTCGAAAGTTTGACGCTGCCATGTGTAGAAACAAAGTGTGAGAACACTGTATAAGCTAATCAATTTACAGAAACGTGAATTTGGCGGTCCAGAAAGGGTTTTACTATGCTTTCTCCACGGTATGTTGGATTCATGGACCCAAGTCAATTCCCTTCAATTTCAATTACATACAATCATGCATGTCTATAGCTGTGTTTAAATATATTTTCATATACTAGTGGAACGTATAATTTAAATCAATAAAAATAAAATCGAATATTTACTATATATATTGTATTTGATTTGAGTGATAAAGAGTTTTTTTTCATTATACTATTTGTCCATAGTTAGAGTCTCATGTCAATTATTTGTCTAATAGCTTCTTTTCTTTTCTTTTTTTTAAATGACAAAACGGAAGCTTAGTATTAAAGTGAAGGATAACTAAGGGTATCTCTAATGTTGTGTTTGGTTGGAGGATTTGGGGAGAGATTTGGAAAAAGAAATGAAAAATGTAGGTAAAATGTGAATAAAACATGTCTATATTTTATCTAGTTTCACACACTTTTCCCTTCTTTTTTTCAAATCCCCTAACCAAACACGGCATAAAGATTTACTATTTTGATGAAATCATTGGAGAGAAAAAAGCTGTCCTTTTCCATCAAATTCAAATTTGGTGATGAATTTAGTAAATCGTTGGAAATGGCCTAAGGTATTCCCTTTATTAATAATATAGATAAATAGATATGTACTTATACATGTGAGTCAGTATACGATAATTAGAAGTGATGGCATGTGCACATGATCATTTTATTTCAAAAAAAAAAAAAGATCGTAAACTATATGATTGAATTTGGATTAAATTTGTAAACTATATGATTGAATTTGGATTAAATTTGGAAAAATCTGAAGTTGAGAAATTTGAAAAAAAAACAAAAAAAAATTGAATTTAGGACATAACACCCTATAAAACTACTATAAGGTATTTTGGAAAAATCTTAAAAATGAGACGTCAATATCAATTCTAGTTTTTATATATATAATATTTTAGATGGATAATGGATTGTGTAACTTGGTTGTGGATTTTCATATTTGGTGATTGGATATTTATATGATGACCAATATATTTAGGGTAAATTACAATGATAACTAGAAGTGATGGCATGTGCACATGATCATTTTATTTCAAAAAAAAAAAAAAAGATCGTAAACTATATGATTGAATTTGGATTAAATTTGGAAAAATCTGAAGTTGAGAAATTTGAAAAAAAAACAAAAAAAAATTGAATTTAGGACATAACACCCTATAAAACTACTATAAGGTATTTTGGAAAAATCTTAAAAATGAGACGTCAATATCAATTCTAGTTTTTATATATATAATATTTTAGATGGATAATGGATTGTGTAACTTGGTTGTGGATTTTCATATTTGGTGATTGGATATTTATATGATGACCAATATATTTAGGGTAAATTACAATGGGCTTTCTTGAAATTTATAAAAAATTACAATAGTAGGTCTCATAATTTTGACATAATTACACTCACTCCGTTGTATTAAAGCTAAAGAAATCAAAAGTGATGCTGATGGTACAAAGTCACAAAGATACAAAGGTATCACTGACCTCACTTATCTAATATTCAATTATATTTAATTTAATAAAATAGCAATAGATAATTCATGGTGTAAGTTACTTAATCTTAAACATCTTTAGAATATATATTATTATTTTTTTTTACAGAAAAAAATGAGAGGAAACATTAAAAACATGTTGGGTCTAACTAAATCTGATTGGATCCTATTAAAAACTCCATGATCATTAAAATAATAACAAATTATGTATATATATTGGTTATTTTGAACGCTATTAGAAGTTGTATTATACCATTTTCACTAAAAAGATGGAGAAAAAAAAAGAGTTGAAAATATGTCGGACACAATAATTTCAAGAATTGCATAAATCGTAAAAAATGAATCGATTGTGAATTATGCGATTCACTATAAGTTCACTTTCAAAATAGATTCACTTATAGATTCGTATCAATTTTACAAAAGTTGTGAATCGTAAGATTCTAACAAAGTTTTTGACACAAATCAAGGGACCCATTTACTTTACTCAAATTTCTATCTAATCAAAACTTGACATGCAGGTGCTTTTACCTAAATTTTCCAAATTGTTCTTTACTCCAATTCCTAGCATCCACTCAAAACTTGACACTTGAAAATTTTACTAAAATTTGAATTTATCTATTGGAGTGCTTTATATCAAATGAAGCTTTTTACTCAGACTTCTACTCAATTTGAGTAAAGCATAAGGTTTGGAGATGGCCTCAAGTAGTGGTATAGAAAAAAATTGGTTGAATGGTATTATTCAGTTAGTTACATCAATGCCATTATAGTATAAGATAGTGTAATATCTTATATTGGCAATAAGGACATTGCAAAAGTAATTTAAACTTGCTAAATTATATGTAAAACAAAACTTAAAAACATTAATATACTATTGCGTCTAAAAAACTAAAGACAGCAAGACAATGCAATTTTTTGTTCGATCGAGCAGAGAGAGAGAAAGGAAACAAAATGAGTCTTCACGTGAGAAAAAAATAATTGGTGACTTAACACTTAGAGCTTAGGCAACCATTGGTGAGAGAGAAGAGGGCAGTGGAGAGTTCTTTCTTTTTGTTGGAGACGGAGATGGTGGTTAAGGATGGCTTGCTTCAACGTATTCGTGGAGTTCCCGGTAGAATGAGGGGGCCATTTCACCTCTAGATAGGTCCTTCATTCTCCTTGGTTTGATAATATGGAGGTATCTAGCTATCTCTGCATCCTATGATTAGGCCTTGGGCTGTTTCATGGGAGCTGCATTGGTAGGTATGACAATGTTAGGTTTGATACATTTTCGGAGAGTCACATGTTTTTTCAAAGCCACTTGTTCTCTAATATTTGTCCAGGTGGAGCCACCTCGAGGGATGGGCTAAACAACCTTAATGATCCCTCAAGTATAGCCTCCAAGCCACGTAACTCGGTGTAAAGTAAATGATACCCTATGCCACACCTCGATTGTCCCATGCTTTAGCTCATGTTGTGGTACCATGACTCGGAGCTAAGGCACCGAGTGCGTTAGCTGGCCAAGCTACCATACTTGGTGGTATATGTGCCCCATCTTAGGCTAGGCTCATAATCCTAGTGGAGATGACGCGGCGCATGGCTGGCTTGCCACTGAGAGTTTCCTGAATATGATGTGGTGCCCATAAGGCTTTGCCACGTGGCAACATGTATTTGAATACCCACAACATTTAATCATTTATAGGGAAAACTAGAAAAATATAAAAAGAGGGAAAAATGATTTAGAATGAAAACACATCCAAAGCACTTAGAGAAGTACAAGAGCAAAAAAATTATTCTCGCTTATATTTAATTTGAATAATTATTGTCCTCTATACAACAATCAATTCAACAGCCCAATTCCAAGAGACTATTGAATGAAAAACAATTGAAAAATCATCGTGTATTCTGAAGGTGAGAACGAAAAAAAAAAAAATTTAAAAAAATAACATAGAAGGCTAAAAAATTACATTCAGAGCACTCATTTACTCATCCTCTCACCCAAAAAACCAAAAACAAAAAATGGGAATTTTCCTTTCTCTTGTAAAATCAGAATAGAAAAAAAGTAAAATCTCAATCTGTTGGCTGCAACAGGAAATGAAAAACAGATCTTTGATGGAGAAGGGGTGGTGGATCCACGTTGGATATGCTGATATCAAGCAAGGTTCAGGATATCTCTTCCATAGAGAAAGGTATGCTGTAAATTTGCAAATTTATTAGCAAAAGTTGCTGGACTAAGCAATTTTTATGTAAATCTCTTTTTTTCCTTTTTGGTGATGTTTACCTTGAGTCCACATCAAGCAAAAAAGAGTTATTTGGCATGATTATTGAATCTTCTGCCATCAGTGCCCTCATTTTTCCAAGTACCTGTGGTCCACAAAGTGCAAAGAAGGTCTCAGATAACATTTCTGAATGTCTAACTCAACTGAGATACAATTATGTTACATATATATGTATTTATGTATTTCTTTTTGATATATATAAGTCAGTCTCTTTTATAAGCATTTCATTACAAATTAACCTTTGCAAATACTAAAATAGGACAAGGAAACAATTAGTAGTTATTAAACAACTAAATTAGGTTTAAACACGAATTTTGTAGTATTCCATACCTGCATGAAACTTTGTTATTCGTGGAGATTCAAATATCTAAAGTACAATGTTAAAGAGGATTATTATTGTTATTATTTTCTTTTTTAATTGGTTGAGCAAAAGTGTAGAAGACATCCAACCATGATAGTAAAATGAACAAGCAGAGAGAATAACTCGAGGGGGTTGTTCATGACTCCTAAGACACTTAAGTGACATAGCTCCTTCTAGACAAGAACTGTGCCTCTACATTGCTTAATGTATCATCTAAGAGAAAGAGAAGTAAGCATCCATATGATAGCAAAAAGAGCATCCCAAATTTGCTTAATCGATTGATCAAAGTGGCAAGAACCCAATTCTTTATTCTTTGCCTTACCTATAATAATTCAATAATTCCCTTCTTCAATAGATAGTTCCCTCCCAAAGAGGACTTCCTTCTGAGGGCCTTCAAGTGCGATTAAGATTTTTAATTTATTGGCATTTCTTGACCATCCGTTATCTCTAAAGATGCCACACTCCTATGTCTCCACCATCCCTAGACAAGAAATATCTAAATTTTTAGCCACCCCAAAAGGAGGCCTTAGAATTGTTGTGCACCAAAGCTGAGATGGTCTTTGGTTAGCATAAAATGAACACTTTTATACTCCTTTATTAGTGAAGCCAAACAAAGAAGGCAAAAAGGTCACTGCCCTTTACATAATTTATTTCATGCATTTTTCTTCAAAGATATGAGCATTTATTCAGCCCATTATCAGTTTAAGGATCAATCACTTTCCAAGACCTATGGCTACTCTCTACATCTCAACGCTACCCCCTTCTTCTCCAAGAAAAAATCATTAGATATTGTGGTGGGCTGACTCAACTTAACCATTTGTTCCAATGAGCGATTATTAAATGACAAGCTCTCCAATTCAAATAGCTGGTCCTTCTTGCCCTCAGAAGATCCGTCAAATCTCTCCGAAGGTTTCTGCTTTGTGAGCGACACTCATTGGTATCCTAAAGAGTGAAAGGTGGGAATGTTAAACAAGCAACTGGATTGAAGTGATTATACTTCCCTTGGAAATCAAGCTTTACTTCCAACCATATAGCCTCTTACCAAGTTTCTCCACCACGGTACCAAAAATTGGTGGCCTCGAAATTACCGCCCCAAGGGCAGGCAAAAACTTATTGCCAAGTTGCTAAACACCAATGGAATTACCTTAAGCATCTGCCAACCTCACTATTTTACATTGTTCATATTTATAGCAGCCACAGCACTCATAGACAAAGGAGTGAGAATATATTTCCATTCCCCAAATAGAAAAAGTGTTATCACTTGCAAATTGATGATGAGAGATTGCAATTCTACTCTGCCAATGGAAAAAGTCCTCCCTAAAGAAAAAGATTCAGTTCTGGAAACCCTACAGAGGGAATTGCCACTGAAGTGAACAAAAAGGGAGAGAGGGGATGTAAGTAAAGTACGAAATTTGTTTTTATGCACTAGCCACACACAGGTTACTTCACGATTAAAGAACTGAGCTGAGATTTAAGCCCTTGTAAACCATGCATGGGAAGAATGTATTTGATCTGTTTCTGTGTATTTATAACAATAATGCAAACTACATAAAATACTTACCTCTAAAGAGAATCCTTGGGTTCCGTATTTGTCATCCCAAAACATAGTTCCAATGCGATATATTTGTGGAATGCTCAACATCTAGTACAGAAAAAACATAATTCAGGGTTCACTATAAATTATTATTTTTGGATAAATAAGGAACAAATTTATTAAAATGAGAACATCAAGCTGATGCTAAAGAATACACCCTGTCCAACAACCGGGAAAACAAAAACTCAACCCCAGAGAGAATCAATAAAACCCAAAAAAGAAAACCAGTTTTAAGTGGCCTTTTGCAATGAAATTAGATGCTGTTCGGGTTTTGTTTGACTACTTTGAGTAGATTGATTGAGTTACCAGGCAGAGTTCATTTGTGATCTCGTCCAGTGATTTTTTAGGCTTTTGATGCAAAACCTGCATGGTTGAAGCATGTTCTTGTTAATTATTAATCCTTACTCAAGTTTGTCGGCTGATTGATCAGGGTTGAGAACATCTTACCAGAAATCCTACAGCTTGCCTTATATGTTGGAGTTCATCCCATGATGATCCAGCAAACTGCACATAAGATAATTGAAGTGTATATTTTTCTTATTTTTCATCATCTTGAACCTCATGCATTAGTTTGCAAAAAGGTTTCGTGTGTATAACCCTTTTACCTGATCTGTTGCTTTATTGCACCACTGTTCCAGTTCATGCAAACCAGCCTTTACATATTCTCCATTGCTGAATGAACAGCACTCACGCCGAAGCAATAAACTGCAAAATTGTAGGATGTTGAATTTGGATGCTATGCTTACTTTTTAGAGTGAATCTATTTCTTTCTAGAATCTGATTATATTTGAGTAGTAGGAGTTGAGTGAGCAGGAGTTGCATACCTGTTAAAAAGCTGGACATTTATGAATGAAAATACCTGACCAAAGATTTTCCTTGTGATTATGCAGGGGACCTGAAGAGACAGTAGTTAGCATCAAATATCTGGCTTCAAACATAAAATCAGGAATGATATGCTAGAAGATTTCTTCTCACATGATTTTCTGATAGGATGCTCAAGGTATGATCCAAGTTGTTGACAATACTTTGCCAGTGTATGCTTGATGCCTGTTGTTTTGCAACTATACTTGAATGGATATTTTTAGATGAACCTCTGATTGCCCTGGCTCTTGTCATTCTTGGTGCCTGTTAATGTTATTTCAGGATTTATCAAAAATTGGAGAGAAATTGTGAACTGTGGAATTTTACCTATATATAAGATTCTTACCTGAATGCACAAGTTCAAGAATGGACTAATCTCTTTCTTTATGCTATCACGGATCATACCATATATTTTCTCAACACATGCAGTCAGATGTTGCTTAAATAGTAGGGCGGGGTATTTAGCCTCTATTTTTGATTGTGCCACTGTGTTTCCCTCCATTCCACTGTACCCACTGGAAATTCCCATGCCCATTGACGATGAACGGAGACCCTGATATTTTATGTTAGCATTATAAATCTTCAAATGGTGTTTGTGGCAACAAAAGTTATACTTGGAAGAGCTTACTTGTGCCATTCTACCAAACAAGGTTGTGGGTGAGGTTCGATTTCGATGTGAAGCCGCATTAGGTGCATTGCTTGCCTTGATTGTATTTCGTAGAAGAAACAAAAGGCTAGAAGTTGTTGAGAGCCAATATGCCAGATCCTTAATGTTATCCTGACTCTGCAATAGCATAATGCAGCAAATTAGTTCACTGGTCAAACAAACTACTGTTTTTATGGCCACATGGACCAGAGGTCATAATGGCATTTCTGGTACTTCTAAGATGGTTGGGAATGCTACCTCTATAAATGATCGGATTGTGTGGATAATCCTATCGAATATATTTGTCTTCTCTGCTTCAAAAGATCTCCATTGGAGAAGTGCTTTGTACACATTGCAGGCAGCAACAGGTATGCTCTTGTCAAACCTCTTGTCTTCCTTGAGGCACTTGATCAATACATCATGGTTTTCCTGGTTATAGGAAGGAATAAGAGGAAATGTGTGACATCAATAGACAATTAAATTTAAAACAAATCAATAAGATCGAAAGAAGCATTCTTATCCATTGGACGATTAAGCTTCCTAATTTGGTGCATATCCACAAAGGCTTTCCATCTTTCTGTTGTTCCAACCCACATGCATGAAAAACGTGGAAAGGCAACCAGCCAAGTCAAGCTTGGCAGCCACCAACCCACATGCATGAAAAACGTGGAAAGGCAACCAGCCAAGTCAAGCTTGGCAGCCACCAACCCACATGCATGAAAAACGTGGAAAGGCAACCAGCCAAGTCAAGCTTGGCAGCCACCAACCCACATGCATGAAAAACGTGGGAAGGCAACCAACCAAGTCAAGCTTGGCAACCACCAACCCACATGCATGAAAAACGTGGGAAGGCAACCAACCAAGTCAAGCTTGGCAACCACCAACCCACATGCATGAAAAACGTGGGAAGGCAACCAACCAAGTCAAGCTTGGCAACCACCAACCCACATGCATGAAAAACGTGGGAAGGCAACCAACCAAGTCAAGCTTGGCAACCACCAACCCACATGCATGAAAAACGTGGGAAGGCAACCAACCAAGTCAAGCTTGGCAACCACCAACCCACATGCATGAAAAACGTGGGAAGGCAACCAACCAAGTCAAGCTTGGCAACCACCAACCCACATGCATGAAAAACGTGGGAAGGCAACCAACCAAGTCAAGCTTGGCAACCACCAACCCACATGCATGAAAAACGTGGGAAGGCAACCAACCAAGTCAAGCTTGGCAACCACCAACCCACATGCATGAAAAACGTGGGAAGGCAACCAACCAAGTCAAGCTTGGCAACCACCAACCCACATGCATGAAAAACGTGGGAAGGCAACCAACCAAGTCAAGCTTGGCAACCACCAACCCACATGCATGAAAAACGTGGGAAGGCAACCAACCAAGTCAAGCTTGGCAACCACCAACCCACATGCATGAAAAACGTGGGAAGGCAACCAACCAAGTCAAGCTTGGCAACCACCAACCCACATGCATGAAAAACGTGGGAAGGCAACCAACCAAGTCAAGCTTGGCAGCCACCAACCATAGCAAGGGTCAAGAATGGAGGCTACCCAAGTCAAGAATGAAGGCTCTCCCACCTACTCCTTTTGTGTATAAATAGAGACGGGAGGGAGAGGATGTGAGAGACGTCAGAAATTGGAGAGTGAGAGCTGTGAGTTGAGTGAGTTTCATCTCCTCCTCTGTATTTTGTATTTTGCTCCATTTTAGTGAAAATTCTCATTTCTGTCCGTGGATGTAGGCATTGAGCCGAACCACGTAAAACTAAATTAATGGCAAAATACAATCTAACACATTTGTAAACACCCAATATTGAGTTGTGTGAGTGTCAGGATAAATCTGAACTTTTATTTGCAGTTAATACTAAAGTGGCACAATTATTTTTGCTCGGGTTGTTTGGATCAATTCAAACCCGAACCGGTGAGAAGCCAATTTTTTAAAAAAATAATGAAAATAGAGTACACCAAATTTAGTCCTACATCATGTTAACATAATATGATCTTAACTTTTTTTCCAGAATATATTTTAAGTTTAAAATTGAAGACAATTGTTAGATAAATAAACATATATTTTGTGAAAACTCATATATATACACACGTATAAACACATACTTAGATACATGATATATGCAATCATTCATTTGGATTTCTTGTATAATCCCTTTCCAAGAACAAGAAGGTACAGTGCCAATGTCTATTTCATTGACACCATATTGTGTGACGTGAACCAGGACATGGTGGTGGGTGGGACAGACACAACCTCCAACACGGTTGAGTTTGCCATGGCGGAGATGCTTAACAAACTAGAAGTGATGAGAAAATCCCAACAAGAACTAGACACAGTAATTGGCAGAACCAACACATTGGAAGAGCCTAACATTCACAAACTACCCTACTTAAAAGCTGTGTTTAGAGAGGTTCTTCGATTGCACCAAGTCCTCCCACTCATGGTGCCTCATTGCCCAAGCAAATCATGCACTATCGGAGGTTACACAATTCCAAAAGGAGTTCGTGTTTTCGTCAATGTGTGGGCAATACACAAAGACCCTTCAATTGTGAAAACCCATCAGACTTCAATCCTGGGAGGTTTTTGAATGGCGAAGGGGATTATAGTGGAAACGACTTCAATTATTTCCCTTTGGGTCGGGAAGAAGAATTTGTGCAGGAATAGCAATGGCTGAGAGGATGGTTATGTTCTCACTTGCTGCACTTCTACATTCTTTTGATTGGGAATTGCCTAAAGGAGAGAAATTAGACCTCACTGAGAAATTTGGGATTGTTTTAAAGAAGAAAATACCTCTCATTGCTATCCTGACACCAACGTTACCTCATACACTCTATGAATAGACTAGGAATTTTGTATGCATCTAAGTGTGTGTGCTTTGAGGACTATAATAAACCATGTTGGTAGGTATGTAACCCTTTCTTTGTTATATAAGACACAAAATAGATGTTTGTGTAAGTAGTTGGTTTGGGGTGCCAATCTTACTAGTATTGATGCATTTAATTGCATGTTTATGTTGTTGTACAATTCTTATGCATTTATCAACAGCAAAAAAATTTAATCTCCTTTGATTGTGACCATAATGTTAGGATCAAACACAACCAGAAAAATATCTCACACACACAGCGAACACAATATTTACGTGGTTCGGCCCAATGCCTACATCCACGGACAGAAATGAGAATTTTCACTAAAATTGAGCAAAAATACAAATACAGAGGAGGAGATGAAACTCACTCAACTCACAGCTCTCACTCTCCAATTTCTGATATCTCTCATCCTCTCCCTCCCGTCTCTATTTATACACAAAAGGAGTAGGTGGGAGAGCCTTCATTCTTGACTTGGGTAGCCTCCATTCTTGACCCTTGCTATGGTTGGTGGCTGCCAAGCTTGACTTGTTGCCTTCCCACATTTTTCATGCATGTGGGTTGGAACAACAATTCTCCCCCTCCATACCCATATGCATGACTGACTTCTCACTTGAAGTCCATCCCAGCAATGTCTCTGCAAATTTCGAGTTTGTCTCTCGAGACCACCTTTGTAAGCATGTCAGCTGGATTCTTATCTGTGTGTATCTTGATCAGTTCCAATAACTGCTTGTCGATCACTTCGCGTATCCAATGATACCGAACATCAATGTGCTTTGTGCGAGAATGGTACATCGAATTCTTGCTCAGGTCTATGGCACTCTGACTATCACAATGTACCGTGAACTTTTATTGCTTTAATCCCAACTCTTGGAGAAACCGTTTCAACCACAACATTTCTTTCCTGGCTTCCGCTGCGGCAATATACTCTGCCTCAGTTGTGGATAAAGCAACACACTTCTGCAGCTTGGACTGCCAAGACACAGCTCCCCCTGCAAAGGTGAACAGAAATCCTGATGTAGATTTCCTACCATCAAGATCGCCTGCCATATCTGAATCAGTATAGCCTTCCAAGACTGGTTTAGCATCTCTAAAGCACAAACACATTTTTGCTGTACCCTTGAGGTACCTCAGAATCCACTTGACTCCTTCCCAATGCTCTTTTCCTGGATTGGAAAGGAATCTTCTTACAACTCCAACCACATGAGCAATATCTGGTCGGGTGGACACCATTGCATACATCAAACTCCCTACAGCGGATGAGTAGGGAATCGCCTCCATCTCTTCTCTTTCCTTCGTAGAGGAGGGACAAGAATTCTTGCTCAGCTTGAAATGATTAGCCAACGGAGTACTGACTGGCTTGGCATCTTTCATGTTGAACTTCTCAATCACTCGTTCAACGTACTTCTCTTGTGACAGCCACAACTTCTTGGCTTTCCTGTCACGCACAATATTCATGCCCAAAATTTGCTGTGCAGGGCCTAGGTCCTTCATTATTGGTCATACATATCTCAATATGAACTTCTCACGAGTAACGAGAACTCCAGTACAACATATTAAAAAAAAAAAAAAAAGTTGATTTAGGTAGAGAGAAAAACCAGTCAGGAAAGGGAATGTCACATCATCAACTTCTCAAGCGAATTATCATAATTTTTTTCTTTCAAATTATCATAAATTCTAAAAAATTAAATTAATTTCTGGTGTTACTAAAAAAAGAGAAAACAGAAACTGGAAGAGCAAACACAGTGAAGATTGCATCATTATGTATTTAAAATTAAAAATATTTGGTCAGCCACCTGGAATTCACCGACACCTGGATATCTCCAACCATGCTTTACGGGATTTGATGGGTATCGTAGCTCCCCGCATGGACCTAGTCCAACTTCAATCATAGAGATTATACCATCCTCAAAGAACTCGTCAAATTCAACCCGGAAGCTTCTCATGTAGTCGAAGTAAACCTACATCAGTTTTTGACAACACAACTGGTAAAATATCCAAATCGAAATCATTATTTACACGACATAAAGAGGGAATACCAGGGAGGGTGGGGCAAATTCAAAAAGAAAAAATGAAGGGGGTAAACAATTCAAGAAAAGAAGCTATCTGGTGTGCAAAAATAAGTTGGTCAAATTGCCCTTAAAGAAAAGCACTAACATCATGCATCAGTCATGGCTTTTTCGTTTGTTTGTTTGTGTGAGAGTGCATTTAGCAGTTGTCAAACCCAAAAGAAAAACTTTAAACAACAATAAATAGAAAACATGAGGAGGGCCCCAACACAAGGGTCCTACGCTTTTTAAAAAAATGCACTCAGTCTGAAGAAAAGTTTTATGATGAGTCAAAATAAAATCTAAGAAACAGATATCTTTAGAAACATCTGTATTTCAGCAATAGCTGTAGTTTTTAAGAACAAAAAATAAAAATCCAAAAACCATAAACAATTGCATGGCCACAAAGATTATGATGACTAATAATTTGGATAATGGCCACACGCAAATACATATATAAAAGGATGAATGCAATACCTCTACAGCAGTCCGGCCTCTTAAAACACGTTCCTTGTCAATTCCCCATGACAGACATTCAGGGTTGCGCCTTCCCTCTCTATCTGTGAAAAATATGTCAGGATTGCTTCGACCGATTTCTGCCACCCAATGTGGCAGTGGTATACAAACATCATCACCAACGTTGCCTCCACATTCATGAAAGGACATTACAACCTGAGCCAATCTCAGTTAAAAAGTAGATCAGTTTCAGCATAGACTTTAGGTTGTTTTTGTAAAGGTAATTATAATACAATGAAAAATCAGTTGCCCCAATGCATATATGATGCCAAACTATTGTTGTTTTCCCCCAGAAAAATATAACAATTTTAATAATAATGCAAGCCATACTTTCTAAGATAAAATCAACCAGATAACACCATGTTAACCTAACAATGATTAAATTAGGTATATAGCAATCATTGCACATTATTTATGCTAGAAATTTGTGTTAATGTATATAATAAGATGGTGGCATGTATATAATATGATAGTGGTGTTGGTGGTAGATAGTGGCATGTATATAATATGATAGTGGTAGATAGTGGTAATATATAATATGTAAGTGGCATATAATGGGTTATGATGATGTTTGTAATATCTCCTATATAAGGAGTGTCATTTGGTCTTGTAAGATAAGAAGTTTTGAATATAACAGAAATATATTCCTTCTTCCTCATATTTTCGGAGTTCTTCTTCCTCATATTTTCTAAGTGTTATTTACTGGGCTGTCTAGCTTACCCTTATTTTTATTTTTCAGATTCTGAGGAGTAGAGCTGTGCAGGGTTTTTACTTGTGGGAGTGCCGAGAGTAGGACTATGATTTAAGTATTTGGATCATTATTATTATTATTATTTTTATTAGTGGACTTGGTGGACAATTTCATATGATAAGAATTATCTATTTGTATGGTTTTTAGCATTATGATATTTAAGGATTTAATTTGAGTATTTTACATTGTTGGTTATGTGTTGGATTCTTAGCCTTGCATGCTCACTTAAATGAGTGTGCGGCGTTGTCACGGAGCTTGGGGCGTGACAATATAAGATTCTTACCTGAATGCACAAGTTCAAGAATGGACTAATCTCTTTCTTTATGCTATCACGGATCATACCATATATGTTCTCAACACATGCAGTCAGATGTTGCTTAAATAGTAGGGCGGGGTATTTAGCCTCTATTTTTGATTGTGCCGCTGTGTTTCCCTCCATTCCACTGTACCCACTGGAAATTCCCATGCCCATTGACGATGAACGGAGACCCTGATGTTTTATGTTAGCATTATAAATCTTCAAATGGTGTTTGTGGCAACAAAAGTTATACTTGGAAGAGCTTACTTGTGCCATTCTACCAAACAAGGTTGTGGGTGAGGTTCGATTTCGATGTGAAGCCGCATTAGGTGCATTGCTTGCCTTGATTGTATTTCGTAGAAGAAACAAAAGGCTAGAAGTTGTTGAGAGCCAATATGCCAGATCCTTAATGTTATCCTGACTCTGCAATAGCATAATGCAGCAAATTAGTTCACTGGTCAAACAAACTACTGTTTTTATGGCCACATGGACCAGAGGTCATAATGGCATTTCTGGTACTTCTAAGATGGTTGGGAATGCTACCTCTATAAATGATCGGATTGTGTGGATAATCCTATCGAATATATTTGTCTTCTCTGCTTCAAAAGATCTCCATTGGAGAAGTGCTTTGTACACATTGCAGGCAGCAACAGGTATGCTCTTGTCAAACCTCTTGTCTTCCTTGAGGCACTTGATCAATACATCATGGTTTTCCTGGTTATAGGAAGGAATAAGAGGAAATGTGTGACATCAATAGACAATTAAATTTAAAACAAATCAATAAGATCGAAAGAAGCATTCTTATCCATTGGACGATTAAGCTTCCTAATTTGGTGCATATCCACAAAGGCTTTCCATCTTTCTGTTGTTCCAACCCACATGCATGAAAAACGTGGAAAGGCAACCAGCCAAGTCAAGCTTGGCAGCCACCAACCCACATGCATGAAAAACGTGGGAAGGCAACCAACCAAGTCAAGCTTGGCAACCACCAACCCACATGCATGAAAAACGTGGGAAGGCTCTCCCACCTACTCCTTCTATGTATAAATAGAGACGGGAGGGAGAGGATGTTTTATATCAGAAATTGGAGAGTGAGAGCTGTGAATTGAGTGAGTTTCATCTCCTCCTCTGTATTTGTATTTTGCTCCATTTTAGTGAAAATTCTCATTTCTGTCCGTGGATGTAGGCATTGGGCCGAACAACGTAAATATTGTGTTCTCTGTGTGTGTGAGATAATTTTTTCTGGGTGTGTTTGATCCTAACAAGTGGTATCAGAGCCGGTGTTGTACGTTTTTCGGAAAAACAGAGTGTTGTTCCAAAAACTTACCCAGAAATCAAAGTGGTAGAAATCTACTTTTGATCACACCACATTGAAGTACTCGACGAGACGAGCACAAAGGTGAAAACCGCGTTAAAAACAGAGATCGGAAGGCCTCTCACGCGCCACACGCACCTGTGACGCCGTTCCCACGCGTGACCACACGCCGCACGCGCTTTCAGAGGAAGAAGACGCGTGAGTTCACGAGCCGCACGCGCGCGCACCAAGCTGCCCGAGCCGGAGCCGAGTTGACCAAGCCGAGTCAGAGCGTTGACCGAGCCGCTGACGTCAGCAGAACCGGAGGAATAATCTGGTGCTTCTCAGGCGCACCAGACTCTGCCGATCTGAACCGTTAAAATTGTTTTGGCTTTATCTAACCCATTTGAGGTCCGATTTGGGTGAGCCAATAGTGTTTTCAAACTATTTGGAATATTTCTGATACATCCGTACGGTCAGATTTTGCAAATAAGCTTTCAAAAAATTTCCGTCTTTCTTTTGACAATCCGAAGTGTTTTTCCGGCTAATTTGACCAGTCCGGACTCCACAGCAAAACTTGTTTTTCAGCCAAAGATCATTTTTGTATGATGGAGGAATCAACGTCGACTTCAGGCTCCATGATAAAGTTAAATGCTTCCAATTATGCCATTTGGAAGCCCAGAATGGAAGATGTCTTGTATTGCCGAGATTTGTTTGACCCCATTGAGCTTAATGTAGTTAAACCACCAACGAAAAAAAACGAAGACTGGAAGCAGAAGAACCGAAAGACCATTGGCCAGATCAGACAATGGATTGATCACAGTGTCTTCCACCATGTCGCCCAGGAGACTGATGTCTATGCTCTCTGGACAAAGTTAGAAGGCATGTACCAGTCGAAGACGGCTCGGAACAAAGCCCTCCTGATGAGAAGACTTGTGAATTTGAAGTTGAAAGGCGGTATCTCTGTTGCTGAACACACCAGTGAGTTTGAAAATTTGGTGAACCAACTAACAACTGTCAAAATGGAGTTAGATGATGAGATGCAGGCCCTATTGCTGCTCAGTTCTTTGCCAGACAGTTGGGAGACATTGGTGGTGTCCCTCAGCAACTCTGCCCCAGAAGGGAAACTGACCATGAGCATGGTTACAGATGCTTTATTTAGTGAAGAGGCAAGAAAGAAAGAAATGGGTGGAGATCAATCCCATGCCCTCATCACAGAAAATAAAAGCAAAGGTAGAGGCAGGGGCAGGAGAAGAAGCAAAAGTAGAGGACACAGCAGAGGAAGATCTCAAGACAGAGGGAAATCCAGAGAAGGTACGAGCCGGCCAAAGTTCAAGTGTTACCATTGTGACCAGGAGGGTCACATAAAGAAGTATTGCTATGCCTTGAAGAGAGAACAACAACAAGGCAATAGACAGCCAAAGACCGAAGATGGGACCACTGCAGTTACTATCTCAGAGGATATTGCATTATTCTCTGTTGAAGAAGAAGAATGCCTCCATATGTCAGACAACGACACCGAGTGGGTGGTAGATACAGCAGCTTCCTACCACGCTACATCCTAGAAGGAGTTCTTCAGTACGTACCAAGCTGGAGATTTTGGTACAGTGAAAATGGGTAACTCCAGTTTTTCAAAAATTGTGGGAATTGGTGATGTTCATATCCAAACCAAAGTTGGGTGCACGATGGTGTTGAAAGATGTCAAACATGTTCCCGATTTACGCCTGAATCTTATTTCAGGGATAGCCTTAGATCGACAAGGCTATGAGAACTACTTTGGCAAAGGCATATGGAAGTTGAAGAAGGGATCTCTCGTGGTAGCCAAAGGACAGGCAATTGGCACACTATACAAGACTCATGTGGAGGTGAATCGTGGGAACGGCGTCACAGGCGCGTGTGGCGCGTGAGAGGCCTTCCAATCTCTGTTTTTAACGCGGTTTTCACCTTTGTGCTCGTCTCGTCGAGTACTTCAATGTGGTGTGATCAAAAGTAGATTTCTACCACTTTGATTTCTGGGTAAGTTTTTGGAACAACACTCTGTTTTTTCCGAAAAACGTACAACACCAGCTTTGATACCACTTGTTAGGATCAAACACACCTAGAAAAAATTATCTCACACACACAGAGAACACAATATTTACGTGGTTCGGCCCAATGCCTACATCCACGGACAGAAATGAGATTTTTCACTAAAATGGAGCAAAATACAAATACAGAGGAGGAGATGAAACTCACTCAACTCACAGCTCTCACTCTCCAATTTCTGATGTAAAACATCCTCTCCCTCCCGTCTCTATTTATACATAGAAGGAGTAGGTGGGAGAGCCTTCCCACGTTTTTCATGTATGTAGGCTGGTGGCTGCCAAGCTTGACTTGGTTGGTTGCCTTCCCACGTTTTTCATGCATGTGGGTTTACAGATTTTGGCAAAGAAGTCACTTATTCCCTTTGCCAAAGATGCAAAATTAAATCTTTGTGACAACTGCTTGTTTGGAAAGCATCATAGAGTAGCTTTCCATTCATCATCCAGAAGACAATCAGAGTTGTTGAGCAGAGTATACTCTGATGTTTGCGGTGCAAAATTCGAGTTTGTCTCTCGAGACCACCTTTGTAAGCATGTCAGCTGGATTCTTATCTGTGTGTATCTTGATCAGTTCCAATAATTGCTTGTCCATCACTTCGCGTATCCAATGATACCGAACATCAATGTGCTTTGTGCGAGAATGGTACATCAAATTCTTGCTCAGGTCTATGGCACTCTGACTATCACAATGTACCGTGAACTTTTCTTGCTTTAATCCCAACTATTGGAGAAACCGTTTCAACCACAACATTTCTTTTCGGGCTTCCGCTGCGGCAATATACTCTGCCTCAGTTGTGGATAAAGCAACACACTTCTGCAACTTGGACTTCCAAGACACAGCTCCCCCTGCGAAGGTGAACAGGAATCCTGTTGTAGATTTCCTACCATCAAGATCGCCTGCCATATCTGAATTAGTATAGCCTTCCAAGATTGGTTTAGCATCTCTAAAGCACAAACACATTTTTGCTGTACCCTTGAGGTACCTCAGAATCCACTTGACTCCTTCCCAATGCTCTTTTCCTGGATTGGAAAGGAATCTGCTTACAACTCCAACCGCATGAGCAATATCTGGTCGGGTGGACACCATTGCATACATCAAACTCCCTACAGCGGATGAGTAGGGAATCGCCTCCATCTCTTGTCTTTCCTTCATAGAGGAGGGACAAGAATTCTTGCTCAGCTTGAAATGATTAGCCAGCGAAGTACTGACTGGCTTGGCATCTTTCACATTGAACTTCTCAATCACTCGTTCAACGTACTTCTCCTGTGACAGCCACAACTACTTGGCTTTCCTGTCACGCACAATACTCATGCCCAAAATTTGCTGTGCAGGGCCTAGGTCCTTCATGTCAAAGGACTGTAATAACTCCTTCTTCAGTGATCTGATTGTTGTGGCATCTTGTCCAACGATCAACATGTCATCAACATAGAGCAAAAGTATGATAAAGTTCCCACCGGGAAATGTCCTGACATAAACACACTGGTCTGCAGCAGTTCTCTTGTACTCATGACCTACCATGAATGAGTCAAACTTCTTGTACCATTGTCTCGGCGCTTGTTTGAGGCCGTAGAGACTCTTCTTCAATCTGCAGACTAAGTTTTCTTTTCCTTTGACTTCAAAACCTTCTGGCTGCTCCATGTAAATTTCTTCCTTCAGATCACCATGGAGAAATGCTGTCTTCACATCCATTTGTTCAAGTTCCAAATTCAAACTAGCTGCTAGTCCAAAAACTACTCGAATGGATGTCATTTTCACAACTGGCGAGAAGATTTCATCAAAATCAATACCTTTCTTCTGCCCAAAACCTTTGACAACCAATCGAGCCTTATACTTGACTAGCTTTCCGCTGCCATCTTTCTTCAACTTGAACACCCATTTGTTCTGCAATGCTTTTCGACCCTGGGGAAGTTTCACCAAATCATAAGTCTGATTCTTTTGCAAGGATTGCATCTCTTATTGCATAGCTTGCTGCCAGCTACTCTTCTCCTTATGATTTTGAGCTTCTTGAAAACTTTCTGGCTCCCCCTCATCGGTAAGCAAAATATACTCAGAAGCAGGGTATTTGGTTGACGGCTTAAATTCTCTTGTTGATCTTCGTAACTGTGGACCAACAGTCTCTAGTAGAGGGGGTTGTGGCTCCCCCTGCTCAACACCCTCTGCTTCTGGATTTTCTTCTTCTAGAATGATGTGTTTGGTTGAGGGATTTGATGAGGGATTTGGAAAAGGTAGGTAAAATGTGAAAAAAATATACCTACATTTCACATAGTTTCACACACCTTTTCCCTTTCCTTTTCCAAATCACTCTCCAAATCCCTCAACCAAACACAGCATTAATATC